AAAAAAAATCACAGCAATCCTTAATTTCTAAATTTAACTTGTCATAGACTGGAAGTTTGTGGATCACTCATCTACACTAAGTTACACTGCTTCGAGGACCTAGAAAGTGTACTTACTCTAGATTTGAGCAGATTAAGAAGTACCATTAAGAGCCACCAGGTAGAGCAGTGTGGGCGAAGGGTTCTAGGCAGAAAGAGCTGGATTTTGGCAATAGTCTTGAGTCTGAGTGAACTTGCCTTGAAGGGATGAGAGAGGAACCTGGAGAGGTAAGCTGAGGCCAGAGGGTAGAAAGGATGGATTTTTACCTAGGAACAATGGGGAGGATTAAACTAGAAAGTCATATAACTCATTTGTATTTTAGAACACTTTAGCTTCAGTTTGGAAAACAAATAATAAAAAATGCATACAGGGAAACTAGGAGGTTATCAGATTACCTTGGTTAGAGAAAATGGTGACATGGACCAGGACAATTGCAAGAGGATGTAAAATATAAAACTGGTTACTAGTCTGCAGGACAGAACATTAGAAAGGGTGGCTCCAGAATTCTCTAATTGTCAATACTATTTCATYGTTAGAGCACAAATTTCAGTCTTTGCTGGAATACCTAAAATTCATAAATCTTTATTCAGTAGATTTCTGTTCATTGTATGGTACACATTTGCATTGTTGTTGTTGCTGCTTAATCTCCATTTCTTCATCCACCTTCATTTCGTTCTGAGGACCTCTGTCCTGTTAGATAGTCTCCTGTCAATCAAATCAGTCCTGTCTAGAATCTGAATTCCGAGCAGACAATGTACTGTGGCTCCTCATCAGATTGTTCCTGCTATAAATTTCACCATGTTAGCCTTCAATTGACTGATTCCAGCCCAGTTCTCTAGTTAACCATGGATTCTGAGAACTTATGATTAATCTCTTGATAATTCCCTTCTGCTGATGTTGACCAATGCAGCATTCTTGCTTGGAATCATACAAGACATTCAACCAGAATTTGGAAGTCCCTTTCCTATAGGACACATTAAACACAGGACTTAGAGACAACCTGTGTTTATATCTTGGAACACGATAATTTTCTTGGGCAAACTACTAACCTCTCTGAGCTTCAGCTTCATTGTGGGCATAATAATAGTACTGTCTCAAAGAACTATTCTGAAGACTAACTAATTAACAGATTCAAATACTAAGAGYGCCTAACAGAAGTAAAGACCTAATACATATTAGCTTATAACGATAATACAAAGTAGATTTCTGAAACATACATAAGAAAAACAAAACTCATAATGCAAATGAGACATTTTATTGAAATAATTACTAAATAAGAAAGTACTACAGGTATAATTTAATAAAGGCATTTTGGAAATTAAATTATATGTTGAGTACTTAGAGAATTCAGATTCTTAAATTTTATTAAGGAGTTCAATATCTGAATTAGGAAAACAAAGTATAATTCCACAATCATTAAAATACTCAATTCTTCAAGGAATCTTCTCTGCTGTGAAGACTTGAGAAGCTTGTCTCCTGGCCTTGAAAGGGAATTTTAAAATGTATTAATTGTAAGCTAGAAATAATTATATTATATATTAAGTATTATTCTAAGATAAAAATAAAATCTGAATCTTTTTCAAGTAATGAAAATTCCTGAAGGAAAATTCCAGCCTCGAACTTATAAAATTAATAATCAACAGTTTTTTAAAAAGCCAAGCCATAAAGGAATTAAAGAACATTCAAATAAAGACAAAACAGAATGAAATAAAAAGAAAATGTAATTATTTAAGGCATAATGAGTTAAAAGTAAAAGTGCTGTGAAAAAAACTGGATGGGGAGAGGGGAAGAGAACAACAAAAGAGGAGAGCAATAGGGAGTTATAGAACCAAGAAACTTTAAGAAAACCATCTCCCTCTACCAGGGGTAGATGAAAACTAGTATAGGTCTGTAATTCCAGCTACTTGGGAGACTGAGGAAGAAGGAGTACAAATTCAATGATACCCTAGGCAACTTAGTGAGACCTTGTCTCAAAATAAAAAATACAAAGGGTTAGGGTTGTAGCTTGGTGGTTGAGCCCCCTGAGTTCAACCCCCCAGAAAAAAAAAAAAAAAAATATATATATATATATATATATATATATATATATATATACATATATATATACAAATATAGTAAAATAGGAAATACAAGGAGGTTATGTTCTTCTCTAGTTCTCTGTCTCCTTTGCCTTTAAAGTGAAGTAAAACAACGTAAAGTACCAAATAGGTGCACCTTTGTTAAGATGTGGCAAGTCTAAATTCTAGAACTGTGTATCAACAACAAGCTCAAGTGCATAAAACAGAGCCTCAGGAATCCTGCAAGTCATATTTTACTAAAGAAGAATTATAAAACCACTATGAGTTAGGTCTACAGATTAAGATATATTTTTACCATATTTATTGTTATGTTCATAACTCATATATTAAAAATTAAGCTAAATATTATGAAATTAAATATTTTTATGAAGTTGTATAAAGCAATTGAAAGTTGCTTTTAAGTTTAAAAGAGGGACTGAGGTTATAGCGCAGTGCTGGAGCATATGCCTTTCATATGTGGGGCACTGGGTTCGATCCTCAGCACCACATAAAAATAAATAAGAATACTATATGTTTATCTACAACAACAACAAAGTTTAAAAGATATCCATTCCAGAAACTCAGTGATATAGAAACAAATGCTTTGTCTACTTAATGAAACAGAATGAAATGTTAGGAGATACAAAGGGATAATACTAATTTTAACTAGAAATTTTAAAGTTTTGCCCATTCAAGCATCATACTTACAACTTTCTCCTCTGAAGTAAGAGTACCCTCTACTGCCACTATCTGGTATTGCTTATGCTTTAAATTTCCCACAAATTTCCGAAGTTGCTTGAGACTGCTAGCCTCTATGTCTTGCTGTAATAATTTCTGCATTTCTCGAGAAGGACATCCAGGATCAAATATCAATAAACATAATGTTCTGTTTTTTCTCTCTTCAATTCCAACAATTGTCCGACTATGACCTATTAAAATATAAAGTAACCAATATATGTCACATCCACTTTCTGCTATACACACACAGATATTAATGTATATATATTCCTGTTCTCTGTATATATGAATATTATATGGACATATATGTGTGTGTTTAGAATATAAATACGGTCAGTCATTAATGTGTCTATACCTGAGACCTCTCCTAATGCACAAAGTAATTAGTTCAACTTGCTTGTTCTTTAGGGGTTTTTTGTTCAATTTTAGTTTTCTAAAGGCTTCATTACAAAAAAATTGTGCTTCCACTCCACCAATTTTCCTTTCCCTTTCCTAGTCTTTTGATCCCCTTTTCTTTCCCTCTTCTTTAATCAAATTATCTTAAATAAAATGGCTTGAAATTGACTCTCCCAGAACAAAAATATAGTTCCTAAAGGGAAACAGAAGTAAATTTATATATACGAGATATCAATGGAGAGGGCTTAATCTCCTATGGTTTGTATTCCTATTCAATGATTATGTCTCTTTATTCTGTCAATTCAAATCATCCATTTAACAAACTTGATCAAGTATCTCTATGCCAGGCACTATTTCAGCAGCAAAGAACATAAGAGCAAACAAAACTGACAAAAATGTCTTACATAATAATAGACACTGTAAACAAGGTAAAGAAGCGAAGGAAATACCAGTAGTGGGTAGCTGGGAAAAGGAGTTGCAGTTTTAAATAAGGTGGTAAGAAAATGCTTCACTTAAGTGACATAAGTGATGAACAATCAAAGAAGAGTGAAGCAAAGAAAATGAYGAGCTGAGAATATGGCTCAGTGGTAGAGTACTTGCTTAGCATGCACCAGGCCTTGGTTTCTACCAATGATACCAAACAACAATAACAACAAAAAGAAAAAAGAAAGGAAAGAAAAGAAACAAAACMCAAGAAATAATGAGTTCAAAAGACCCTTAAAATGCCAGGAATATGATCCTTCATTACCCAAAAATGTACTGTAATGACCCAGTAGCTCTGAAAACGAGAGTATTGTCACAATATTCCCCCTCCTCCCTATTATCGGAAACTTAAATTGTCCAAAAGTGATAGACAATGTGTTGTCTTCCAAAGAACATTGTTTTATGAGTCATACTAACCTTGATGCTGGAGATAGATAGGAGGTTTAGATGTCCATACTACCTTGGAATTCCCTTCCCTCTCTAAAGAATAATAGTTTAGGATCCATTCAAATAAACGAGGGTGTGTACCTGAAGGACCAGTTGACTTGTGAAAATCAATAATACGGCACCTAATAAAAAAATTGACAAAATGGACTTTCACTGATGTAATTATCAAATACAAAAAAATTTTTAGATCTGCTAATTCTTTCTAGGAAGGAAGAAAGAAGATGATAAATTTTTATTATTTAACTTGAAAATTATTATCTTTGTGGGAGAAACAATTATTTAAATAACTATTCACAACAAGATTATGTCTGACCTAAAGGTTACAATATTTGCTGACATATAAAATCTCCTTGAATAGTAAATGAATATCATGCTTGATTTTTAAGTAATCAACACATAATCAGGACACAATTTTTATTCTAAATTCTTTAACCCTGATGATCAGTTTAAAGCTGACTTCTGACTTTACTTACTCAATAGCCATTTGTATACACTAAAAATATACAGAATACTTTTAATTTTCTCAAATTCTAATAACAGACAAGAATATACGTAAAGATCATAGGAACCTGTGTGTGAACCCACATCTGTCCTTTTATCTATCTCCTACTTGGCACCAGTTAATGGTGGTGTGCCTCCTTCAAGAAAAGTCACTCTTGAGTAAATACTGGTTATAATATTCAACAACTATTTTACAGAGATCAAGTATAACCCAAAGCATTAACAGAATATCACTTCAAACCACAGCACAAGACAGCCTGTTCTTGTCTCTCTAGGTAATAAATTTCCAAAATATCCAAATTGTACTGGTTGCTAACCTCTGTCACATTAAATTTAATGCTAAGAACTTGCAGCTAGCTAATTACTGAGTTTCAGGTGCTCAAATAAACTTCTGGATAAACTGTTTAGATGTAAGAACAGTGCTTTAGGGTCAGCAGTCTGATTTCATG